TGCCTCCCAAGTGCTGGGATTAAAGGCGTGCGCCACCATCACCCAGCAAGAGTGAGACACAGTGTTATATCTCTCTAGCCCTAAACATCACTTTGCTTGGAGCTGTTGTGAGATTTGGGGTGTTGGTTCTGGTCCTCTACAAGAGCAGTAAAGTGCTCTTAACCATTCAGCCATTTCTCTAGCTCTAATTCTGAATGTCTGAGCTTCTACCTCCTCAATGCCTGAATTATAGGTATGGGCTACCATACTTGATTGATGTGGTCCTGGGGATCACACTCAGAGCTTTATGCTTGATAGACAAGCACTCTACCAACTAGGCTATATGCCTAGCCTTGCTTTTCTTTTTTCTTTCCCTTTCCACCTCCCTCTTCTTTCTAAAGCAATGGTTCCTCAACTTGTGGGTCTTGACCCCTTTGGGGTTGAATGACCCTTTCACAGAGGTCACATATCAGATATCTATCAATCAAATATTTATGTTACAATCCATAACAGTAGCAAACTTATGGCTATAAAATAGCAACAAAATAATTTGTGGTTGGGGGTCGTCACAGCACAAAGAATGTATTAAGTGTTGAAGCATTAGGAAGGTTGAGATCCACCACTCTAAAGGGTTGCATGTAGTCCAGACTGGCATGAAACTTGTTACATACCTCAGTAGCTGAAGCTGGCCTTTCTGCCTCTGCCTCCCAAGTGCTGAGATTACAGATATGGACACCATATCCAGCCTTGCATTTTTTCCCTTTTAGATAAGGTCCCATGTGTCTCAGGCTGGCCTCAAACGCAGTGAACTTCTGATCCTTCTGCTTCCACTCCCAGTGTGCTAAGATTAGAGGTGTATGCCTCTATCCCAGTTCACACAGCGCTGAGGATGGAGCCCAGGGCTTTGTGCATCTGGGCAAGGACTATACCAAATTAAGATACAGCCCAAGCTACTTTCCTCCCTCCCTTCCTTCCTCCCTCCCTTCCTCCCTCTCTCCCTCCCTCTCTCTCTCTGTCTCTGTCTCTCTCTCTAAGAGGCACAGCCTTACTCTATTGTCCAGACTAGTCTTAAGCTCCTGGACTCAAGTGACCCTTCTGTTTTAGCCTTTCAAATAGTTAGAACTAGAAAAGGTACAGGAAAGCCTGGCAAAAAGCCAAACTCTTAGAAAAAAATGTGTCAACAAATTCAAGACTGTTGGCTCACACCTGAGCTAACCCCAGCTGAGCAACACTATGCTCCAGTGGATGACTCCACATCTAGAACTATATGAACAGCATGAATTGAAGTCAATTGAGTTATTAGTAAAAAAAACAACAAAAGCTGGACATGGTAGGTGCACACCTTTAATCCCTGCACTTGGGAGGCAGAGGCAGGAGGGTCTCTGTAAGTTCAAGGCTTGCCTGGTTTACAAATAAGTTTCAGGAGTTTCAGGAGAGCCAGAGCTACACAGAGAAACTCTGTCTCAAAAAAAAAAAAAGAGAGGTATGAGGTGTCTGGGGTGAATATGATCAAAATACATTGTATGAAACACTGAAATAATTAATAATATTAAAAACAAAAAACCCAACAATAACAAAGAATTCCACCAGATATATATTAAATAATAAATAATTCAATGACTTTGCATTATACCTGGCACATAATAAATGGGCAGAAAATGTTAGTATTATCATTAAGCTGCCAAAGCAAGTTCTCAGAAGCCAAATGGCAGCTCACAATCCCACTGTAACTCCAGTTTGAGGGGATCTGATGTTCTTTTCTGTCCTCTACAGGCACAGGGCATGCAAATGGTACACAGACATACTATCTTAGTTAGGGTTGCTATTGCTGCAATAAGTACCATGACCCAAAAGCAAGTTGGAGAGGAAAGGGTTTATTTGGCTTGCACTTCCATATCAAAGTTCATCATTAAAGAAAGTCAGGACAGGAACACAAGGGTAGGAACCTGGAGGCAGGAAAGAGGCATGAAGAGGTGCTGCTTTCTGGCTTGCTCAACATGGCTTGCTCCACCTACTTTCTTATACAACCCAGGACCACCAGCCCAGGGATGGTACCACCCATGATGGGTCTTCAACAAACAAACAAAGACCTTATGGGGCATTCTATATTCTCTCTCTCTTACACAAATTAATCCATTTATTGTAGGCTAGACAAGAATTAAATAAATGATAGTGTATTTACTGGTCTTTCAATTCCTTCAGACTTCTGATGGCAGACTTGACTGTGACAGAAGTTGTAGGTCCATTGTGTTCATGCAGGGACAGACAGTGCCAGATGCCAAAGGCTCGTCTCTTCATCTTGGTCTTTCCACAGAAGAAGCAAGTGTACTTGGCATGCTAGCTGATTTCAATTTTCTTCACAATTTTCTGGAGGAAAGGACCAAATGGGCCTCATATTTCCCAATGATCACAACCTTCTTGGTACATTTTAGCCATGTCATTGGAACCAGCAATTTAAGGTTCCTTCATTTTTGATAACTCTAGCCAAGTTGACATAGGACTAGCATACATTTAGGCACAACATCCATATAATAACAACAATAATACTAATAGAACAATAGAACAATAATAATAATACAAGGAAAATATAGTTGTTATTTTTTTAACTCTTTGAAGGCCTGCCATCCCAGTTCCCAAATAAATACATAGAGATTTACTCTTACTTTGAATGCCTGGCCTTAGCTTTGGTTATTTCTAGCTGGCTTTTCTAACTTAAATTATCCTGTTTCGTGGGTGGAGTTTCTTTGTGTCCTGTCAGCTGCTCCCCACATAACCACACAGAGACTTAATATTAATTATAAGTGCTCAGACAATAGCTTAGGCTTGTTTTTTTTTTAGCTAGCTTTTATAACTTCATTAATCCATTTCTATTAATTTATGTGCTGCCCTGAGGCTAATTGACCTCATGTACATACTTCCAATCCTGCTCACTATCTGTCTCGTGGTGTCTCCTCCTCCTCGTCTTCTTCTTCTTCTTCTTCTCCTTCTTCTTCTTCTTCTTCTTCTTCTTCTTCTTCTTCTTCTTCTTCTTCTTCTTCTTCTTCTTCTTCTTCATTAACGATGGGAGCAGCACATCTTCATAGTGTACAGAAGGAGTATGCCACAGCACATAACTATGTTTTGTCTCTGGACTTTTTTTTAGACAATTGCTTTTTTTTTTAAAGATTTTTTTCTTAAGATTTCTTTATTTATTGTGCATACATGTATCTCTGCAGGACAGAAGAGGGCAGAAGATCTCATTAACAGATATTTGTGAGCCACCATATGATTGCTGGGAATTGAACTCAGGACCTCTGGAAGAGCAGTCAGTGCTCTTAACCTATGAGCCATCTGTCCAGCCCGCCTCTGGGCTTTTTACCTTTCTTTATTCTATATATCTTTCTTTCCTTCTTACTCTGTGGCTGGCTGTGTGGCTCAGTGGCTGTCCTCTGGTATCCTCCTCTCCTCCTTTTCTTATTCCTCACTCTTCCCTAGATTTCTCCTATTTATTCTCTTTGCCTGTCTATTGACCAGTCAATCAATCAATCAGGTGTTCTAGACAGGCAAAGTAGCAGGCTTTACAGAGTTAAACAAATGCAACATAAAAGAATGCAACGATACTCCACAGCATAAACCAATATAACTAACACTTTTTTTTTTTTTCTTGAGATAGGGTTTCTCTGTGGCTTTGGAGGCTGTCCTGGAACTAGCTCTTGTAGACCAGGCTTGTCTTGAACTCACAGAGGTCTGCCTGCCTCTGCCTCTGCCTCCTGAGTCTTGGGATTAAAGGCATGTGCCACCAATGCCCGGCTATAACACATCTTAAACTAATATTCCACAACAGGATAGTGTTCAGATTACATAATTGTCCATCAATAGAAAAGGCCAAACCTAGCTGAGTGTGAAGGTGTGATGACACCCATCTGTAATCCCAGGTAAAATTCCGTCAGTCAGGGTTACTTAGTGGGAACCTGTCAAAAAAAAAAAAAAAAAAAAAAAAAAAAAAGAAAAAGAAAAAGAAAAAAACAAAAACAACACCCCAGTCTGATAGCTGGGAAACCAGCATAGGATCCACCCAGACCCCCTGAATGTGGGATCAGTATTTATCTCTTGTATACGAATGGACTTTGGGAGCCCATTCCACAAAGAGGAATACTCTCTCAGCCTAGACACATGGGGGGAGGGCCTAGGCCCTGCCCCAAATGATAAGACAGACTTTGAAGACTCCCATGGAAGGCCTCACCCTACCTGGGGAGCAGAGAGGGAATGAGCTGGAGTTTGGTGGGGGTGATAGTGGAGGATGGGAGGGTGAGGGAACTGGAAATGACATGTAAAACAACTTTGTTTCAAATTTAAATTGAAAAAGGAAAAAAAAAATAAAAAGCAAAAACAACACCCCCAAAACCAGCCAAAATTTCATCTTGTCTAGATTTGAGCCTTGTCAAGTGAGATGTAACCATTATTTCCCTTCTTAGCATATATTAACTGTAATTCATTTTATATAGGTTGTTTTTCTCAGCTCTGTTCTAAAATTATAAGAAAGTGGGTGGCAGACTCCCCGGACATGGGAGCTGGTAAGCGAACTCAGGTCTTTCACGGAAAGAGTATGAGCTCCTAACTACTGAGTCATTTTTCCAGTCCACAGAAATTAAAAACAAAATGTATATTATATTAAAATATTTATTTATTGGGTATGAGTACATGTGACACTGCGCACATCTTGGGTATATCACGCAGGACCTATTGGGGGCGCAAGGAATCCGGAATCGGGCAGGACTCTTCTGAGAGGCCAATGCTAAGGGCTGGAGAGAAATAGCACCCCCTACAGCAAGTGTGGATTAGCGGCTGACGGAACCACGTGACCTCCTTCTACCAATAGCAAAGTAACAATCGCTTCCTGCGTTCCCCATGGAAACGACACCGCCCCCAAAGATCCTCCAGCCCCTACCCTTCTGTGGTGAGGTTTTGGCCTTTCATTGAATACTCCGGGTGACAATCAAATGTCCGCTCCTTCTGGCTGGACAGTTCGCTTCCGCGACACGAGAGACCACGCTGAGTGGTCAGCACGCGAAGGCTGGCTTAGCCTTACCCAATGTTGCTTTTCTGGGGCGGGGCCGACTAGAGACTCAGGGCCAATCAGCGGCGACGTCGCTTGTGCGACTCCACGTCGGCAGCAGCTGCGGTCAAGATGGAGGCACTGATTTTGGTAGGAGCTGGAGGGCCGGTGGCGCCGCCGTGGTGTCCAGAGGGTCCGGGAGGCGGGGTTTAGCAGCTGGGGCCGAGAGAGGGGAGTTCCGGGCAGGCGTCGGGGGCCGAAGCTCTCGCTATCCGAGGAATGCGAGTGTGGCCTACATGGGACCTAGAGCAGCGGTTCGGAGTAGGAAGCCTTGCCGAGAAGAGGGCAGAGTCGGTGGCAAAGTTGAAGAGAGCATGCGGGGTCCTTAGAACAGTTCTGAATGTGCTGGATGGGGCTCCTTCAAGTTCTCCCAAGTGCTTAGCGTTGTGGATCACACCTACTTGAATTTCCCCAAACCATCATATGCCCCCCCCCCAGACTCCCCGAAGTTGCAACAACAGAATAGAGGTGTTCTGTCAGCCTCAGATAACGCCTCGTGGTGGTCAGAATTCGATTTTCTATTGGTAATTCCAAATCATGTTGCTCATGGATTCGGTTTCCTTTTAATCCTTAATATATATATATAATTCTGTTATGATTGAGAATCAGCACTCCGCAAGTTCTGGAATACCTGGTAAAGCTAGTATAGTTTTTGGAATATTTTTCCTGACTCCATGTTCTGTCCTCCTTTTCCCTCCTCCTTCAGACTTTAGGAACTTGTAATGTAGGGTCCATTGTCAGACTTCGTCTTCTGGTTACATGAGAATTGTGGTGGCTACAGGAGTGCATTAGCTTTCTTGTCTGTTGGTCACTTCTGCTTGCTCAAATAAAACACTACCCCTTTAGAACAGGACCAGGGCATTTCTTTCAAGTGCATTGGTGGGCTGCCTATCTGTGTCTGTGTTTTAGTGTAGGAATTTAACTTCCAGCTTCTTTCCTTGAGTTGGATTCCAGGAATGTTTCCATAGAGTCTTCCTTGACTCCCATTTTCCTTAGATTGCTTATATGTATACATGCCAAACCTTGGTCAGTAAAAGAAAAGAACAAGTTTTGCCTTCTCTCCTTATGAAAAGAAAGAGTGAAAGAGTGTATTTTTTTTTTTTTTTTTTTTTTTTTTGAGACAGATTCTTTCTCTCCCTCCCTCATTCCTTGAAGCCCCAGTTATCCTGGAACTTACTGTGTAGACCAGGCTGGGCTCAAACTCACAGAGGTTTGCCTACCTCTACTTCCCAAGTGCTGGGATTAAAGGTATGTGCCACCACACCAACTTGTTTTAGTTTTTTGAGTGAGAGCTTCATATAGGTCATACTGGAATCAACTTGGCTGCATAGCCAAGGCAGACCACCATGCCCACCTGATGTTTATGTGGGAATTTGAACTCTGATTTTCACATTTGTGTGGTAAGCACTTTAACCACAGACCCATCTGCCTATACCTTCTTCCCTTCTTTCAAATGTCAAAGAGAATTTATTCTCATTATAGGAGTTGGGCAAATTGAAGCAAAATGCTTACATCTTGAGTAATTTGTTTTAAGTACTTACTGTACCAGTCAGTTAACGAATTTTTTACATCTGGTAACAGATGTGGATAAAATCTGTGATTGGTTTCCTTGGACATTTTTAAACTTTTTAATCAGATGTGGAGGCTCACACCTATAACCCCAGCTGAGGTTGAGGCTGAGGCCATATTGCTGCTAGTTTGAGGTCAGCCTGGGCTATGGAGTAAGATCTTGTCTCATAAAACCAAAATTAACCGGGTGGTGGCAGCAGCAGACGCCTTTAATGCCAGCACTTGGAAGGTAGAGGCAGGCGCATCTCTGTGAGTTTGAGACCAGCCTGGTTTACAGAATGAGTCCCTGGGGCAGCTAGGGCTGTTACACATATAAACCCTGTTTCGAAAAACAAATAAACAAACAACAACAAAAAAAAAAACCCCAACCAAAATGAATTTAGTGGAGCCAGCTTAAAGAATGAGGAATGGGCCAAGCAGTGGTGGTGCATGCCTTTAGTCTCAGCACTCAGGAGGCAGAGGCAGGCGGATCTCTGAGTTCGAGGCCAGCCTGGTCTACAGTGGTAGTTCCAGAACAGCCAGAGCTACACAGAGAAACCCTGTCTTGAAAAAACAAAAAAGAGTAAGGAAGGTGACACTTGAGGGTCCCTTTCACCGTTGGTTCTGTTGGGCTGAGTGTAGTACGATGTTGAGAGCACGTGGTCTAGCTGACTTTAAAGGCCCTACCTATATTTGGCCCCTAGCACAGGGATAGTTGAAGTTATGTGGGCAATGTCTGTCATTTCTCTTTGTTCTCCGTCCGTTGGCACTGAGTGGTCTCTCAGCACGGCTCTTCCTTGTTCTCCCACTCTCAGCAGAACTGACCTGCTGCGTGCACTAACAGATCCTTGCTAACTCCCTTGCTCGCCTTTTACCTTTAATTTTAAAACTATGCTGAGTCCTTGCTACTAGCACACTTTTCAGTGAAGCACAGTAGCAAAACTCCATTTTCCATTTTGGTTTCTTTGTTCTCCTGGAACAGATTTCTATTTTTTGAGACAGTCTCATTATGTAGTCAGGGCTGGGCTTGAATTTGTAATCTCCTAGCTTCACCAAGTTTCTCTCTGATGTTTCTCTAGGTTCTTACACTTCTTCAGTGTGCAGAATTTTCCTTAAGTTTTTGTTGAGGATAAAATACCTACAGGCAGCTGGGGGTTGTAGCTCCTGCCTTTAATCCCAGCACTCGGGAAGCAGAGGCAGGCTGATCTCTGTAAGTTTGAGGCTAGGCTGGTCTACAGAGTGAGTTCTAGGACTGCTGGGGCTACACAGAGAAAAAAAAATAAACAACCCAAAATGTTGTGTGCGTGTATACATACAAATATATGTGTGTGTATACACACACACACACACATATACACACACATACACACGTCTTCTGACCTTGGGCCTCAGGTATATAGGTGATGCACACATATCCAGGCAAAAACAATCATACACATAAAATAAATCTTGAAGGAAAAAAAAGCATAGCAGCTTTAGCTTATAATCAAACTTGTTTAATCTTCCTTCAGTCCTTTGACACTTGGTTCCTACCCTGGCCTGGCCTTAGCCTCTGCTGGCCCTCCTTTCCTCAATTGTTAGTTGAGGAATCTGCAGGTCGAAATTCTCCATTTATAATCTGGAATCTTAAAGTTAATAAGTTAGGCTTTTCTTTGGCCTTTGCTATCTTTTCACCCTCAAAGCTGAATTACTATAGTAGTTCAAATTCTTAAAACCTTTGTACATAGATTTTTTTTCTTCCAGGTTTTAATTTCTGAGTTCTTTTCCTGTGTGTTATAGATTAGACCTCAATTCTATCCATTGTCTCCCTTAATATTTTATACTAAAACTGACAGAATTCTGATTCCCACATCTCATTCAAATATCAGGCCATCTAAAGTGCACTAGGATGTACATGTATCTGGAGGAGGAAGCTGTGGGACACATCAGTGACTCAAAGGTTGATATTGTCTCAGTGGCCTTTGCTTCCTGAATCATCTTAATGGGGCCTTTGTTAAATTCCTTTGGCACTAACAGTAGAGGTACTTGGCCTAAATGCTCCCTCCTCCTGCTTTGGGCATAGGTATCAATTACATTAAGCCCCAAAGCACTCCCATCTCGTTCCTGGCAGTCCCCTGTGCCTCTCTCCCAGCTGTGTCCTTGCTGGTGCTTGGCCCCTCCATTTCGTTAGGAGAAGCAATCTCCTCGTTCCTGTGCTGTGGAGATATATTTCTCAGCCAGGGCTTGAGCAGTGCCAGCACTGCCCCCGGTGAGGTCCCTGGCAGCCATAAAAATTTTTATTGTGATTATGTTGGTGTCCGGGTGTCCATCTGGGTTATTGCACACCTAGTTTAATTGATTGAAGTTTAATTTATTGACACTTCAAATTAAATGATCAGAATAAACTGTGCTGTTACTCTGGCCGGCTTGTTTTAATGGTTGATTGCTGGAAGCAGACCTTGGCTTGAACTAAAACCCCCAAAGAGTAATTGACGCTGCTTCTAACTCTCCCCATGTCTTGCCCTCCAAGAAGACCTCGTTATAGATTTCCGACATATTTATTTATATATATATATTCTCCCTCTCCTTCACAGTGGTGGGAAAGAGTTGGTCCCTGGCAAGGTATAAATTACATCAAAGGTCTAGGGGAATCATCACATGGTCAGAAGGGGAGGAGGAGGCCTCTACATAAAGAAAACCAGACCCTGGAGAAGCCAGGTCCTCTCTGGGAGGCAGATTGTAAGTGCAGCTGCCCACCTGTGTGAGGAAGCCTCAAGGCCAGTTAGGCTCTTTCTCATCTAGGTTCTTACTACTGTTTCTCACTCCATTGGTTTTGGGCAGAGTGGTTTTCTCCCACAGCAGACTGTTAGGTTTCTTCTGTCCTTAGAATGCCTAGCCTCTGTCACCTTCATTTCTTCAGGAAATCCTTTTGTGTAACTTAACTCATATGCTGCAGGTAAAGCTTATCTTGGTGTTGGGCATGTAGCTCAGTTGGCAGAGTGCTTAACTAGCACTCCATAATCGGGCCTGGCTGTTCACACCTATAATCTTAATACTCGGAACAGGAAGAGCAGAAATTCAAGGTCATCCTCAGCTACATAGGAACTTGAAGCCGTCTGGAATACATGAGACCCACCCTCACACCCAGAATAAATCAAAGAAAAGCAAGTCTCTCTTACTGGCTTTTTTGCTCTTCTTCCTTACAGTCAGTGAACACGACTCCCTTTGAACCCAATTGTTCTGAATGAGCTCTGTCAGCCAGTCATTCTCAACTCCTTTGTGCATATGTATGGGGAGGGGGGCTCCTAAATATGTAGTTCAGGCTGCCATCAATTTATGATCTTCTTGCCTTCTCTTCCTGTGTGTAGGAATTATGGGTATGTGCCACCAAACCTGGCTTCCTCAGAGGCTGCTTGTCTAGTCTTTAGCTCTTTTTCTCAGGAACAGTTGCAAGAGGGCAGTAGGATTAACCATGATTTAAACTATGGCCAAAGGTGCACTAGAAATGGACCTGCAGCTCCCAGGGCTAAGGAAGCTGAGTCAGAAGGACTCCTGGCCTTGAG